CTCCTCAAAAACCACCCCGCCCCCAGACTTTCTCCCTCTAGTCCAGTCCCTCCTCCCCTCCTTTTTCACAGCGATCAGATCAATGGAGGTGGTAATGACCGCACAACACCGGACTTCATGCCCTGAACTTTACACTTTTAAACGGTTCAAGAGGCGCCTGGGTGGCTCAGCTGGTTGCCACGCTCTTGATTCCGGCTCAGGTCATGATCTTGCGGTTCCTGAGATTGAGTCCCCACGTCGGGCTCTGGGCTGACAGTATGGGAACCTGCCTGGGGTTCTTTCGCTCCCTCTCTCTCTCTCTGCCCCTTCCCCGCTCTTTCTCTTTCTCAAAAATAAACTTCAAAAATATATGCTCCAGAGGCCCGGGCGGCTCAGTCAGTTAGGTGTCCAACTTGATTTCGGCTCAGGTCATGATCTCACAGTTTGTGAGATTGAACGTCATACGAGGCTCTAGACCGACAGTTCGGGAACCAGCGTAAGACTCTCTCTCTCTCTCTCCACCCCCTCCCTTTGGCTCGTGCTCTCTAAAATAAATTAAAAATTTTTTCAACAGAAAGAAAGAAAGAAAGAAAGAAAGAAAGAAAGAAAGAAAAAGGAAGAGAGAGAGAGAACGGAAGGAAGGAAGGAAGGAAGGAAGGAAGGAAGGAAGGAAGGAAGGAAGAAAAAGGAAGGAAACTTGTAGACCAGAGAAATTTCAGTGGTTTGCCTAAGAAGCTGAACAAAAGAAGGGCGCCTGGGTGGCTCAGTCGGTGAAGCATCCGACTTCGGCTCAGGTCATGGTCTCACGGTCTGTGGGTTCGAACCCCGCGTAGGGCTCAGTGCTGACAGCTCAGAGCCTGGAGCCTGCTTCGGATTCTGTGTCTCCCTCTCTCTCCGCCCCTCCCCTGCTCACGCTGTTAAAACAACAACAACACAATTTTAAAATAAAATGGCTCAAGTGGTAACTTTTATGCTATGTGGATTTCACACACACACTAAGATTTTGACCACCCACGTTTCCTCCAGGCCACTACCTTGTTCTAGCCACTGTCTCTCACCTGAACCATGGCCGTGGCCTCCTCCCTGGGCCCCAGCTTCCACCCTCGCGCCCCCTACAGTTTCTTCCCACGCGGCAATCAGAGGGTCCCGTTAACACATAAGCGGGCTCTGTCCCTCCTCAGCTCAAGAACTTTCCATGGTTCTACCTCATTCAAAGTAAAAGCCAAAGACCTCACGGTGGGTCTTTGAGGTTCTGTACAATCTGCCCCCATTCTCTCTCTCTCTCTCTCTCTCTCTCTCTCTCTTACTCTTGCCTCCCTTCCTGCTCTCTCCTTCACTCACTCTGCTCACTCCTGGCTTCTTCATGGTTCCTTGAACCGGCCAAGCACCGGAGCCTCAGGGCTATCGCACTTGTCGTTCCCATGTCCTGGGACACTCTTCCCGCCAGAGATCTGTATGCCCGGCCCTTACCTCTTTGGCATCTGCCCAGGAACCAGCAACTCCATTACTCCCTGTCACCCTGATTATCTTCGTCCGTTGTGCTTCTTGTTAACAGACATAACATGTATTTAAGTCACTCATCACGCTTCTCGTCTGTCTCTCCAGCAATAGGTCAGCTCCCTCGAAAGCAAGAAGCTTTGCCTGTTTTGTTCACCGCTGTGACCCAGGTGCCTAGAACAAGGCCTGGCACAGAGTAAATGCTCAGTAAGTGCTTGTTAAGTGCAAAATTAAGAGACAGTGACCAAAAGAGAGACTGAGAGATAAGGAAGACAGACCAAGATAGGAGAGGAGATAGGGCACTGGGGGACTGAGCTGGGGAAGAAACGAGAAGGGGGGAGGGGGAGGGGGGTGTTGGGGCAGGACGGGGAGGGGGGAAGCAAGGAGAGGGAGGGAGGAGACACAGAGAGAGAGCTGGGGCGGAAAGCGACAGAGACTCAAGAGAGTGAGTCAGAGAGAGCACCGAGTGAGGGACAGAGGCAGAGACAACACTGAGAGATGGCAGGGAGAGACAGAGAGGCAGGGACGGAAGGGGGAGAGAGCAGGGTGGCGCGAGGGAGACACAGAGACAGGAAGAGAAACCGAGGAATGGGGAGCAACGGAGCTGGGAGAAGAGGGCAGGAAGCCAGAGAGCCGAGAGGGTTCAGAGATGCAGAGGGTCCCCACCTCCAACTCACCACTTGCTGGTGTCCAGAGCTCTGGGGCGACTTGACATCCCTCGGGATCCAAGCTGTGGTTTTTTTAATCCCTGAGGGACAGAGGCGGGTGGAGAGAAGGAACGTGTGATGCCGTTTGAAAGGCTTTGGATCACTGGTTTATTTACTCTGGAAGTACTATCATCATCTTCGTTTCACAGGACCAGGAAGGTTGAGTAACCTGCCCAAGGTCACACAGCTAGGGAGAGGAAGAGCTGGAACTTGGATCTGGGCATCTTGGCTCCACGGTCAGTGCCCTATGCTAACCATAAAGGGGTGCTGGGTCCCTGAGTTCCCCTTCGGTTTGGAGACACCCTCTGGGAAGTGGTGCTGGACGGATAGAAGGGAGGAAACGAGGGACACAGAATGACTGACATTCTCAGCCCAGTCTATATCCACTGATGTCCCAGCCTGAGGGAGGAGGTTCAGTTTCACTCCCCTGGGAAAGTCTCCAGTTCAAAGGAGGAGGCTAGACAAGAAAACCACTACCTGCGTATAGGGTCCAATGCCCTGCCCAGAGCCAGGCCTCAGTGCTCTGCGGGGAGGGGACAGATTCAACCACTTCTGACTCTTTTGGCAGGCCTGGAATTTCTCTGCCTCGGTCCACCAGCAGCACTGCAGACCAGAGAGGTTGTACGAATCTTTAAAGGCAGCACAGTACTGGCTAACTTCCTCTGTGATTTCCAGGGAGGCACAGGCCCACCACCACCCCTGTCCACCCTCAGCTCTCAGACCCCGGGAAGAAGGCCTCACTCCCTCCCAGCAGCAATCCTGACATCTCAGGGGAACTCAGCCTCTCTGCCTGACGCTATAATCACACTAATCCCAATCCCCGAAGACCCCAATGCTTGTGCGAAACCATCCCACCTCTCCCCTCATCTGTGCTGGAACAGGAGGGCGGACTGTCTGCTTCTCTCCAGAGGCACTTGTCTTCTGCCCCAAGCGTACACAAAACTGCGAAGTCCTTCACACTGTCTGACCTTCAACTGCTCTGTTGCAGATAAGCCTCTTCTCCCCACCCCAAAGGCTAAATGTTGGCGATGGGAAAAGAAAAACACGCCCGCCCAGGTCAAGGGAGAGCCCACCCGACCCACCCAGGGCAAAAGACACGAGGATCGGACGCCAGGAAGGCCTTCCCCTTACAAACTTGAAAAGAGAGACATCTCGAAAACAATACAACAAACACAGCACCAGGCACTTGGGGCTGGAGTTTATTGCAGGGGGGACATACGGACACGGAGATTCAGAGAGGAGGAGGGCGGGTTGTGGGCTCTGTGCTCAGAATCCCATGGAGGGGGTCAGAAGGCAGAGATCAGGAGAGGGTCTGCCAGATGGTGGAGGACCCCGGTCTGATGGCAGAGGAGCCTGATGGCGGAGAAGCCTGACGGCAGAGGAGCGAGGCCCCAAGCCAGCTCCCCTTCGCTCCCCATTCTTCAGGATGACGACTCCGGAGACGCTGGGCGATGTCGTGAAGACGGAGCCCGGGCCCGACCGGGTACGGAGCATCCGCCGCGGGGGCGCCGGCCTCTCGAGGGCCGGAGATCCAGCAGGGGGTGGAAGGGACGGCTACCCGGGTCCTCGCCCCCCCGCGGCCTCCGGCCTCTCTCTGGGTGTCTGGCGGTGGTTCGGGCGGCGGCTGTGGTCGCTGTGGCGGCGGCGGCGGCTGCGCGGCAGCTCGAGCTGGGGTCGCGGCCCGCCGGGGGCTCCCAGGAGGCAGGAGATCGAGGCAGCGGCAGGCGCCGGGGCAGGCGGCGCGCCCGGGCGGGCGGCGCACGGAGGAGACGGCGCGCTGGGCGGCGGGCCGGCGGGGCCCGCGGGGGGCCG